ATTTTTCATTATAAAAAATTAAGAATTATCTTTCTTTTTTTTAATTTACACATTAGCAACATGTTTGGGAGAGATTTTTTACTCCAAAAAATTGATTTTTTGATCGTTATTTCACTATTCCAACAGTAATTTTTGACTTCTTCTCTCACACGTGGATCCCACTTTTCTTCTAATGGTTAAAAAATCAATTCTCAAAATCCCTTCCAAACAGGGCCTAGGTATGTATTATTTTCTTTTTCTTCACAAATCTGAAATCTGGAATTTTTGTTTTAAAATTATAGTCCTCAACTAAGATTTTTATGGATTTTAAAATATTATAAATCCTAATGAATATCATAGATTTGAATTGATTTCCACAAATTACATAAAAATCTCATCAAATGTAGTGAAATTTCAAAAGATTTAGGTTATATATATTTTCAAACTTAAAGTCCATCCAAATCTTTTAAAATTTATCTATTAATGAAATCTTTATAAATCTACCAGTTATTGAGAATATCTAAATTTTAAATAATTTTTTTGAATTTCATTAAAATCTTAATTGGGATACCTAAATTTTAATGGATTTCATTAAAAATCTTAATTGAGAACACGTAAATTTAAAATGATTTTTAAAATTCAGTACATTCTCAATTGAGGACGCTTTAGTGTATATATATCCTTCTACCTATTGGACATGCTATCAAAAATCCCCTACCTTTTAAAAAAGGCTCAAAACGTCCTCGTTTGAAACATTTAGTATGGAATACTCCCTGTCATAATGTCACAGAGAGAGAGAGAGAGAGAGAGAGAGAGAGAGAGAGAGAGAGAGAGAGAGCCATAAATAATGAGAAATGCCACAAGTATATTTTAACAGATTTTATAAAATCTGGTAAAAAAAAAAAATCTGTAATTGCAGAACAATTCATAAATAATTTAAGAATCTATCTGTTTCCGATTATTTTAATACCAAAATAAATTTTTTGACCATTATTTGACAGGCATATGGGTTCTATTGTGAGATAAAAAGTCAACAAAAGCTGCTGCTTGCAATGGTCCAAAATGCAATTAAAATGAGCCAAAAAAACCTAAAATAGACGGGGGCTAAACATTCTTTTAAAATTTTACATTTTAACAATTAGAAAACAGATTCAATGACATTTATTGCATGTCAAAAATGGGCTTCTAGCAATGTGGTGACTTCAGAAACAACACGAGATTAGAAATATCCTTTTTTAATTGCTTCTTCCAACTCTCGAAATTCCCAGGCATCATCTGCTGAATGAATTCCTGATAGACGGAGAGAACATAATTTAGCCTAAATTATGATCCATGAACTAAGATAACACAAGTCTGAATGAATTGCCCTGTGTTGTCAATTGTAATTCAAAAATAAAACTTTATTTATGTCGACAATTTCGAGCACCATCCATTTTCATTTGCATAATTTATCCCCTTATAACTACATGTCCTCTAAGCAAAACTTGTTTCACAGGACAATGGATAAGTTTAAATTGAGTATAAAGCCCTTACCAATTGAATCTCGGCGTAAAGCTATCAAGTGTGCACAGCTGCAAGAGGAAAAGTGTATTTTCCAGTTAGATTCTATCACAATTGGCTCTCCTCTTTATGAAGAAATTATTGCATTATTCTTCAAGCTCTTTCAGATAGTAAGATATGGGAACCTGATTAGAACAATATGGTTTAATATATCTACCTTCCCAGAGCCTTTCCAAAATCAGCACAGAGAGATCGAATATATGTCCCTTTTGAGCAGGTCACCCGGAAAATAACATTTTGTCTGTCATCTAAACTTCGTTCAACACTGAACTCGAATATTGAAATCCGTCGTGGCGAAAGTTCAATGCTTTCTCCTTTTCTAGCTTTCTCATACATCCTTTCTCCACCGACCTATTATATGGAGAAATGTCATGCCATCTATAAAATGCTATTCT